TTTTCCTTAGCGCTTCGAACGGCGCGAATTAGTCTTCGTGCTTATGTCTCCGTGGATAAGGGCTTCGCGGATTTGTGGTGGAACCCAATTTACTATGAACCTTCCAGCTACTATCAGTCTCATCATGTTTCAAAAGTGTGCAACACAGATGTGCAACACAGGAAAATTGAAATGAAGTTCTGTTGGTGCATTCTGAAGATAATGTTCAAGTCAAGATCAAACCCTGATGATTACATTTGTGATATTAAGTCTCCATGGCTCATCCCAGTTACTCATCTGTACATGGCCCAGAGAAGTGAACCACACAATTTTATATGCAGCTCAGGATTAGCTCTCCTGTTAATCCCGAGTGAGCATTTCCTTGAAATTCACTATTTTGCACTTAGGAAAAACATTCTGCCATTAAAAAATATGCAAAAACCTTTTGGAGTAATTCAGTAGTGCATTCTTTAAAAATCACAAACATGCTTCTACTAGATAATAACCAGACAAAAATGAAGCAAAGAACCTTTACAGCATGCACAAGTACTGTAAACCAGAAATACAAAAACAGAACTAAAATGCAAAAGATTTTCAATGACTGCATAAATGTGCAAACAAATAATGTAAGTTATTTTAATTTGATGTTAGGGCATGAAAGCTTGGCTCCAGTTGTCTCGGCCAGATATACAGTAAGTGGGAATACCTGTAACCATACAGGACTTTTATATTATTCCAACCTCTTAATATTTATTCATTTTAATGTACTTACAGAGGGACTTATCTCCAGCTAGTTGATAAAAGTGATGACAGACCTGGGAAATCCGGGAAATATCTTTATGAGTCAGCAGGGAAAAGACACAAAGCCATAATTCATCAGGAAGTAGCAGCCACGGTGTGAGACTGCAGTCACTTTTCTAAAACAAAACAAAACAAGAAAGCAATTGAATCCCAAAACAACAAGAATGACAAGCATGCAAGTCAGATCAATACTAATAAATGAGACCATGTGAGCAAGGCAGTAGCAGATCAAGTTTATGATTTAATTCACAAATTGTTATTTGTGTACTTTGCTCTCATCTGGAAGATGCTTGTAACTATTTTTTTCTTTTAACAATCTGGATGCTTTAAAAATATTGAATGCTTAAACTAAATTATCACTGCATTTTTTTATAAAACAACTTCAAACAAAGGGCTACAGAATGAAACATAATTCCTATTATATACACACATAACATACAATTGGAAAAAAATGTGGAGGAAGTCAGCAGATGCCAGAGCACGACAGCAAAGAAAAGCCTGCAGATAGACTTCTGGGGCAGGACCTTGCTGATGGCGCGCTAACTCTTGGGTGGCAAAACAGAGGCAACTCCCCCGAGATGTAATTATATACTTTACTACAAGAGAGTTCAGAAACATGATACTACAAGAGTCTTATAATACCAGGCTTCAAATTGGCGGACAGGACTTGATTGTCTTGAAAGAAATACCACCCCAAATGCTAAGAGCCAGGAGAGATTATGCTTTTCTAGTGGAAGAACTCAGAAACCGTCAGATACAGTATAGATGGG